ATTGAATAACGTATCGACGCCATTTATCTTACAATACCTGCAATAATACATTTAATGGAAGCGCCCATCACCCGTTATTATGCAACAGTCAAGCAGTTTGTGTGGAATATGAAAATGATATATTTCGCTGTCTGATTTAGCCAATCATGTGGTTGATGTGATCAAATAACAGAGGGTGGCCGTATCTCTTTTCTCGATAAGATGTGTCTAAACAGAATCTAAATCTTGCACACCTTATATGCGACGTGCATGTAGTATGGCTATGTATTATATGTGACATGCATGTAGTATGACTACGTATTAAGTACGTATATACGTTCTTGTGTCGATAATATCATACGGCGAAAAATGGTGATTGGCGCGCACCGTCGGTAAATAAACCATCTATGTAACGCGACGTCGGGCATTGCTGCTATTAGGTATTCCAGGAGCGTCAGCTGCTTCATGGTGTAGTAATGGAAGATGTCAACTCCTGTTATGTATGATTTCTTTCATGTCGTATGGACCCATTCCAGTATTGGTCTACGAGCTCATCCGCAGTGAAAAACTGTCGGCAGTACACGCAGTGAATATCACCTATTGCTGGTTGAGGCGACTAATGAGATTTGGTGATCAAGGTGGTTGATTTGGTTGATCGCCATCGTACCTGAAAGCGTAGATTGATGCTCATGATGTCAGCCATTGTCTAGTTTCGATGATGTAAAGGATCAGAGATTAACCTGAGTTAGTGTTACCGTGTCTCCATGGCGACGAGTATTGCACGTGTTTTCAGTATTTGGCCTGGGCCGATTATTTGCAGAGATTTGAACACCTCAGCATTAAACAGCATTAGGGGCGGTGGGGTAGTCTAGTGGTTAAAGCGTTGGCTCGTCACACCGAAGACCCGGGTTCGATTCCCCACATGGGTACAATGCGTGAAGCCCATTTCTGGTGTCCCCCCGCCGTGATGTTGCTGGAATATTGCTAAAAGCGGCGTAAAACAAAACTCAGTCAGTCAGTAAACAGCATTAACTCACGACCAATCCTAATAAGCTCATGGTTACAACTACTACAACGTCGTCTGCACCTTCCGCTGCAGCAACGCCAACTACGTCTTGTGATCAACGACATCCAAAGTTACTACTACTACTATTACTGCTACTACTACTTGGGGTAGCCCAGTGGTTCAAGCGTCGCTGGTCACACAGAAGACCCAGGTTCAATCACATGCGTACAATGTGTGAAACCCATTTCTGGTGTCCCTCGCCGCGACATTGATGGAATATTGATAACAACTGAAACTCACTCACTACTACAACCTCAGGGCAACCCTTGCGTACAAACGCAGTAATTAGATTTGCAGAGTCATGTCATTTACACATGCCAGGATCCGCTGATCTTCGAACCCAAAATTCTCAAAATTCATTGGTCTATCATCAAGTATCCCTGATCGGAGATTCTTTTAAGCGTAAAGGTCAATGGCCAGGATTCCACATTCCAGCCCTACACAGGCCTAGTATAACTGAAAAACTAAAGCTACGTTGAATCTGACTTCGTCCTGTGAACACTTCCAGTTGTAATGGTACAGCGGTATGTTCATTTTCACAGTGAAAAAACATCTGTGGGCTCAACAATAGTTCCCGATCTCAGTTACCTTGTGTGTGTGCATCGTTATCTCCTACATCTGGTCTGCAGTGCACCCGGCATGAAGGTCATCTCTTCATCTAGTCCAGACTGACCATTTTATCGTAAGCAGCGCCTCTCGTGCCTGTTTAATGGGCATCCAGATTAATATTTGAAAAACGCGTTATCAGGATGTTCAGTTGACAGTGTAAACATGTAATGATTAATTAGTTTCTTAAATAAGAAATGAACTTTTTTGTTTTACGATGGTCTTTGGGAAGATGAGTGTTGAGCATTTCAGAAATCTATACCTTGTTGTGAAATGAATAAGAAACAACTGGGTACAAAAAGAAGCAGACATTTCTTTAGTTTTACTGTCAGTGTTGATGATTGCCACGGATTTTTTTTTATAGTCATTAGAACAGTTCAACGCCAGCTTGAACACATGCCCAAGACAATCGTTAATGTAGGAAATTCTGAAGTCACTGTGGAGAATTGGTTTTCAAGTAGAAAAAGAAAGCTCTCGTGAAATCAAAACATGATTCTCGTTCTCTTTGAGCAAATTGCATATTGGTTTTGCTGAAAAAATCTTGTCTTTTGGAGGAGCGTCACCCTGGCAACCTGTTAAGGAGTGTTGTGTGGCCTTGACCCTCGGCACAGCACAGCAATTGGAATGAATTTGAATCTTGAAGATGTCTCTGTAGTGGGCATTCGTGACCCACTCGTGTTATTCCGGGGTGTTACGGAAAGGGGCGAGTGGTGACGAATGTGTAGTGCGCTACATTCGTAACTACTCGAGTCATTCCGGCAAGCCGGCTGGCGTCTCGTACCCCTCTCGTGGCCATGTTTACAACTGGGCCCTATCTAAGCGCAAACGGGCATGTAGATGAAAATAGTCTAGTACTATTACAAAGGAAAGATAACTCTGAATTTCCAAACATGGCTCACAGAATATCCTACATTCCGTGGGCAAAACGGCAGTACAGTCATTCCCTTTGTAAATATATGTTTCTCTAAAATTCAGTGTTTAAAGTTTCTGATCCTTTAGCTCAAAGTTAAAATTGTGCTTTGCATAGTTTAGCGAAGTTTCAACGGTGCCGCCATTTTCATGCTTCGAAATGCGTTTTACTACGCGCGATTTGATTGGTTTGCCACGATTCTCGGCAATTATGGCGTACAATAAGGGTACGAGTCTTCTTGTAGGTCACCGAAAGAGGCGAGTAGTTACGAATGTCGTAACTATTCCTGTCATATCTTGTAGGTCACGGGAAAGAAGCGAGTAGTTACGAATGTGTAGTGGGAGGTTAAGGTCGCTTTGGTGGCCGGGGTTCTGGATGCATGTGACGAGGGTTGGCTTGTTGGGTTGTCACCTTGTCCCCACGTCATTTCAAAGGATGACAGGTAACTGGTTTGTCTCATCAATGCTAGCGATCCAGCCGGTGTGTAATGCCGAAACACCATTCACCCTTCCTTCATGGTAGTGCCATAGGAAGCCAGAGTGTTCCTCTGGGGTAGTTGTAGTACCATGCCATCAACAGGGAGTGAGTTAGTTTATTTTTACGCCGCATTTAGCAATATTCCAGCAATATCACGGCGACGTGCACTAGAAATGGACTTCACACACTGTACTCATGTAGGGAATCGAACCCGGTTCTTCGGCGTGACGAGTGAACGCTTTAACCACTAGGCTACCCCACCGCCCCAAGTGACGACAGGAATGGTAACATTTTGTATGTTTGTAACAATAGAACCACGTTTTAACACATTTTTATCACGTGGATTGTCTTAATTCAAAGAAATGTAAATGTTCATATAAAACACTTGCTCATTTCAACAGATCGTTATACAACCTTAAGATGCCCTCATTTTAACAGTTTGAATAGGAAAGTAGATACTTCAACATGTTCTCTTTAATCAGTTAAGACAAATATTAATTGAACCAAATGTTAAAGGTATTTTGGAACTAATAATAAAAATAATTGTATTTTATGTAATCAATAACTTTGAGCGATATACATGTTACAATAAAACTTGATAAAAGACGGCCAGATCAGATTTCTCCAATTGGCCTATATCCAGAAATGATGGCCGTGCATATATCTATCTCAGCGTTAGGGGTCTAGACTTGCACAAGTCTTCTAAGGTAACAATTAATACTTTAAATGATAATATCTGAAAATAATAAATAACAGACTGGGGTCCTTAGATACCAAATAGTAAATGTATTTTGAAGCTAATAATCATTGTATTAGTACTGTCCGCTTATCTAGACTTGCCACTTCGAAGGACTGAATTACTATACATCCATGGGCTCAGCCTTTAGTACAGCCTTGAAGCAAGACTAGTTAGAGATCATGCTGTAACACATATCTCAACTGAATCTATCACAAACGGCTTGCCTGTGGAGCCTCATTATATACTTCATCCTTTTGATTAACTGCGTTGGATCCAATATTGTCGGCTTGAAGTTCTGTTTCATTTCAGATCATTGACTTATTATGATTTTCATCTTCTGTTACTATGTTTTTGCCTCAGGATGACTCTGATTTGATGTTTCACATTCGTTTTAGACACGCTAATGTTAGGCAAGACATAATTTACAAGATAGTTGACATCTCATACTCGTTTTAGAGATAATCGCTTTTGATTAAACATATCTGTAGAGATATCTGACGTCGTTTATAGATGAAAAGAAGGCGTCTTCTATCAACAGATGGAGCAAGAGCATGTCTGTGAACTTTGAAATAAAATTCAATTTGTTCAATGGTAATGGCTGACAAGCATTGTATTGAGTTTGTGTAAATGAATTTTTCTTTCGTTCAAAGCCTTCTAGGTAGTCTTTACACAGCTACTGTTGCAAACATGATTGCTTGCTTAACATTTCACCTGCAGTGCCCTTCATGGACCCTGTTTATAACACTGTTTTAACTTTAATTAACCAACTTATTCTTTAAGTCCTTTTTCAATTCTTTCATCTAACACTGTTCTCATGTACTTGTAATGTTTTACCTGTACTAAATCAACCTTTATCTTTGCATGCAATTTTACCATAGAGGTTTTTAACATACCTACTTCCGGGTACCCATGTATACAACCATTACCTCCTTATTTCATATTTTAGTCCAGTTTATCTTTTAACATCAGTTTGTTTATGTCTACTCCCCATATACCACGACGGTATCCAAGTTGCAACTATTTATATTTGAACCTAGATATTTCAGGTATTTTATTATATGAAATTAAACCTTATCAAAATCAGTGTATCTGAGTAATCTGACCCATATAGTTTCACCATATCTCAAAATAAGTTACCACGGTAATAGCAGCTTTCTGTCATACTCTCGGGTACCCATGTATACACGTTTCTATAGTTTGACCTTTAGCGTCCTCTGTTACAGGCTATGGTTCGTGGAGCTGATGCTGATCGGCGTGGTGGTGTCCATGTTTGTACTGGGGACGCTGTTTCTCCTGTGTGGACATCTCTCCACTGACCCCACGAGCCGAAGGGTCTTCAACTCCTCCGCCAAGAACAGGTGCGCCCGGGGACTCAACATCTTTGTAAGTATTCATTTCATTCGTTCGTTCGTAAATTTGTCCGCCCGTCCGTTCATTAATTAATTCATCCAATCATCCGTTCATTTATCCATCCATCCATTCATCATTTGTCCAATGTCTCGTTCGTTCGTTTATCCATTCAATCATTCGTTCATTGATCGATCATTCATTCTTTATCTATCGATCAGTACATTTCAGTTGTGGCGGCTGACATAGATACAAGTATATATCATTTTGTTATGTGTAAGTTTGCGTGCTTAACATACATATATATACACATAATGGATATATAGTCTTCGGAGTGTGCCTTTGCATGCAGCCTAGTTCCTTGAGTAGACATCGTGATCTCACTGAAACACTGCCCAAAGCAGCATCAAACTCCACTCACTCACTAACTCAGCACATTGCCTCCTTGTCGCGCAATTGTTTTTGAACGTCCAGAAATGTCGCTGTGACGAGCTTGTCAACGATGGTGTGAGGTTTAATGCTTCAAAGTACGTTAACTGGTTCTGCTGTTGGTATGCGCAGACTTCATGCGTTTTATTGATATCTTGTAGACAAGAGCCAAGTATTTTTCGCACGTGGGCGGAATTTGTTAAACTGGTCTCAAATTGCTTCAAAGACTGTAAACCAGCCCTAAACCATGTAAATATATACTTCTCCTTGAACGAATATCGATAAGTGGCCGGTGTGAATCTGTTTGATGGAGAGTAACAAAACGCTTTGCCCAGTTTATTGCAACCTTATGGCCACATGAACATAAATATCGGAAACTGTTAAAATTGCTTGTCTGGAACGATCCTTTCAACTATGATTAGGCTAGTATTTTAGGAGCTAACATTGCATAATTGTTTTTTAGAAAAGCTATGTTCGAAATTTTATTGCCAAGTTGGGTTCTGACGTTGGAATCTATGTGGACATGATCCCATTTTCGCAATTCTTAGGGTTATAAATATTTATTTTATTCATTAACAAATTAGCCCGAATTCCGGCTCCTTGAATTTATAGGCTATAAGGCCTTGGTCTTTCCTGTACGTTCACGGACAAGCTGTAAGCTGATACTTATTTGATGATGGTTTTAAAATATTCCTTCCTGCTCGTGAAACTACGGGGAATATAATTGACCTTGACCTTTCCCAACTCGGCAAATGGTCAGGGTCACTGAATACTTACACGAAAGGTCATATGAACAATAGTCCTCGTGTTCCTTCCACTTCGAGTTTAGTGCAGTCGACAAACCTTTATACTGTGTTGACATTTCTAGACCGTGTCATATTTGAAAATTTACGAGGATGCATGTGTTATTAACGAAGGTTTGGGGTCAGGGTTGAGTCAAATGTCTTCCGAAATCTGATTTTAAGCTCATTTATTTTGATGATGTGAATAAATAGAGCAGTTAATGAGTGAGAATGGTTCTGGTCGCTAGTAGCAATATTCCAGAAATACCACGGCTGCGCTTCACACAGTGTAGCCCTAAGGTGGTGGTGGTGGAATTGGGTTTAACGTCGTGCTTGAGAATATTTCGCTCATATGACGACGTGCATGCGTGTGTATGTGTATGTGCGGCTGCTTGTACTAGCCCAGACTTAAGCTGGTTTTATAGTGCTAGCCCACTGAGATACCACGCCGTAGTGAAGCATGAATACCCCACTCAGACACATTATGCTGACTCCAAGCCGACCAGTCCTTGTTGTACCCATTAATGGCGAGCGCCAGGCAGGGACCAACAAGTACCATATTTTAACGTCTTTTGGTATGACGCGGTCGGGGATCGAACCCGCGACCTTCCACACTCCGGGCGGACGCTCTAACCACTACACCACGGAGGCGGTCTGTAGCCCTAAGGGGTTTTGGCATAACGAGTGAACACTTCAACCACAAGACTAGCCCACTGACCAATTCAGTAAATGGTTGCCCTTATTACACACGCCAACATGTCATGTTGTCATGTGTCTTGTTTTCACAGTATTTAACTTTGGTTTGAAGGGCATGTTTACACGAAAATTAACCTTTTTGTCTGCACTTTTTCATCATAAACAGTGTTTGTCAAGTAGTTTCATAGCCAAAATAGTACAGATATCAAAAGTAACTAATTCATTTTTTGAGTTCTAACGATTAATATTTTCCACATCAACCGAGAGATCAATGTCCACAATAAACACACCATGGCTTATGTCCCTTGAAATTGACGTCATTGGTGCCCAACTGATAAACGAATGATATCGTTAGACCTTATTAGACCCATTTCACGTGGTGTATCTAGCACCCGTGGAGATCCGCGTTAGAATTAATCTTCAGCGACCCATGCTTGTTGTAAGAGGCGACTAACGGGATCGGATGGTCAGACTCGCTGACTTGGTTGACACATGTCATCGTATCCCAGTTGCGTAGATTGATGCTCATGATGTCAGTCACTAGATTGACTGCTCCAGGCGCGATCATTTGCAAACCGCCGTCATATAGCTGGAATAATATATTGGAATGTGGAATGTTCATCTACCCCTGTTCGTTTACCGACTGGCTGTTTGGAAGGGGGAACTGGGGGTCGGGGTGGTTTGTTCCGACACAACGTCTTTAAAACCCTTCAACAAGCGTAAATAATAAGCACAATACAATTATCTTCGCTCTGTCATGGCAATCTAAACTTTCATCCCTCCTATACGAAATCAAAGGCCTTCACACCATCAATCTTGCTCTCTGTGACAGTTCAACGCTATCTGATTACGTCATTCGGCCTTTCCGTGCTGATGCGCTAAAATAATCCACACGTTCACTGGCGACAAAATCCCCCAGCTTCGTTCTAGACAAAAAACTGACACAACCTCTCACATAACACAAAGCTCCTGCTGTTTCGACACGAGTAAACTAATACTCGTACAGTAACCAAGAACAAAGCTTTTCCCTCTCAATCCCGCGTAATCGTATTTACTGACAACCAGGAACGGACGATCGCTCGTACAATCAACACCAAGCGATCCGTTCTCGCGGCCACGTCTAAAACAGTGCGACATCACCACACAGAACATATAGCAAGTCCCCAGATTCAAGATATTCATAGCCACGGCTATTGATTCAACGCTGTGATGGAATATTGTCCCCCTAGTGCCCGTCTCTATCAACCCCCATTCACAATCCCCAGCACGCCAGCAAGTAGACCCCGCCGGCTTTATGATGTAAGGGCGTTATGCTGTATGGATAATGGAATCACTATACTGTCAGTACGGGGTCTGGTGTTTATATGGGCTGGGATGGAACCATGCTTGCCGAGCGGACGGCGAAATATCAATTCTTATTTAATTCCCGGTATCATGTTTGATCAAAGCTGTTACACATGTTTATATGTGATTATCCTATCGGATGCTTTAATTGAATCGTCGCATATCATCAATGACGTATTTACGAGTGTTTAAGTAGACCCCAGTCGGTGTTTAGCCCTGGCAATTTTTGTTTTGCTTTCAGAATTATTACAGGCCTGTTGTTTGGAATGTATTTGCTAATAGGCACATGGCACTATAAAGTATATTATAAAAATGGGAATCCAATCGCCAGAGAGACGGCGGAATGGGTGGCCAGGTGGATAGGGTGGCCTCCATTTATGCCTAGTGATCGGGTTCGATTTCCAATATTGGTGAAATTTAGGACGATCTACTCTCTGTATTCTTGTTCTGACATCACTAACAATATCCATTTTTCATAATATGTTAATTGTTTTCACAAAGTGGCCCTTAAAATTTATCTTACCTCAGACATAAGTGTCGCGTTCTGATTGGCTGAGCGCTCTTCTATTATTTTCAATGTATCCCGCTTACAAGCGAGTAACATTTCAATGTACCCCGCTGTCAATGGCAAATCATTTTGTACTTCGCGGTAGTAATTCTTTATCTCGAATAACATTGAAACACGTATGATCTACGGAAATTACCGATGTTTTGCGAATGCAAATCGATGGACGGGAGATAACTCTAAATCTGTTTTTCTTGTCAGCAAAATCTAGCGATGGCTACAAAAAGATTTGTACCCATGCTTCAAACAATTCAAAATTAACATTAAGGTGTTAAGATAAATACGTTGTTCACTGGTCCCTCGGGGCCCATGGGTTGATGTACCCTTGATGTTTGTGTATGTTCCCTGAGACCAACCAGTGTGTGTGTGTGTGCCCCCGAGAGACCACTGAGCCCGAAGGGCGAGGGGAATATAAACAAACATCGAGGGTACATCAACCCATGCCCCCTCGTGACCAGTGAACAACTTATTATATTAAAAACATACATGTCAGTATTTACATGAGGACATTTGGTGATTCAGAATGCTTAGACGATGTGACGACTTTAAAGTTATTTGTGACGTATTTGTTTCTTTTTAACAGCATATCAAATTATTTTACTACACGAGAAGGGTAATATGTGGAAATCAGTTGGTCACAGTGAATGGCAAAACATGGATACTGTCTAAAAAGTAAATTCTGTCACATAATCACATTTGCCAATGTATAGGTGGATCGGCATAATGATATTTGTTTTCTGGTTAAAGCATCACGGTACTAGCTAAATACAGACACATGCCTTTAATGATTAGGTGGGGTAGCCTAGTGGTGCTTGCGTCTGTCTGCCACTTTGAAAACCCGGTCTCGATACCCCCTATATGAGTACTGTGTGTGAAGCCCATTTTTGGTGTCCGCCGCCGTGATGTTGCTGGAATATATATCTGGCGTAAGACCATGCGTCATTCACTAAATCACTCAGGTAATGATTAGGTTGAGCTGTCATTGTTCTGCGGTAGGTTGGCTCCTTTTTAACAGAAACTTCGGACACGTAGAGCTGACCGAACTACAAAATATGTTTAGGTTCAACCGAAATTACGTAAACGAATGAACACTTTTCGGTTATATATCACACCCGGTGTCCTAGACGTCCGAGGCGCCGCAATTCCCTGTATACAGATTTCCCTCCTTTGTTCACACCGAAACCCTCGATCGTGGGTTCGAATCCCGGTTCAACTCGATT